GAAAAATATGAAACAATTCAATTGAGAAAACTAACGGCCTAATTTATAACAAAACAATTTACGAAAACAAATATGACGGACATGAACCAACGACAACCACGAAACTACAGGCTCCTGACTTGGGACAGGCACATAATGAATGTAGCGGGGTTAAACATATTTGTGAGCGTTCAACCCTCTCCCTAACCTGGGACAGAGGTGCAACAGTACAACATAAGAACAAACTATAAAAATAATTGTTTTTTTTATTATTTATTAACTTCTTTTTTAAACTCGAGGCGATTTAGAAAGAGCTTGTCAGATATCGTGTAGACACCGGTTTTCTCTTGAAAACTGTATGTTGCTATCTATATGTCCTCGAGTTCACAGACACTTGTTTCACATGCAGTGGTTAAGGTCCCCACCCCCATTTCTTGGAGGCAATCTCCCTCCTTCTTTGATCTTTACAGTCGCATGAAACAAGTGCCTGTGGTTGGGTTGCTAAATCTTTGCGTATACCACACATCTCATTTTATTCTAAAGTAATATTTGCCGCTGTACGATATCAAAGATCGTCTTCCAGGGTTTACGCATTTAACGTACACTTTCACTAAAACGGCCCGACGGTTCCAGCTCCGACCAGTACACATTTTTGTACTACTCTACACTAATGATAGCTCCAGAACTAAATCGATCAAGGTACAGAGTTTGGCTTTCATTGTGTCATTTGTTGTAATTTCTCCAATATTTTTATCAAAACTGTTCATAATGCGCAGATGAACGGAAGAAAGATGCTGCGCCGAAAAAGCTATTTCAGCTATACTGAGCATTCACATCCTTTTTTTCCCGTCGACATTTCTGTATGCGTCACTCTAAATTAGCCTTCCTCATATATACTATATATATACATATATATAGTCAGGGGTAGCGTTAGCGTAGCGAATTGTGTTTGGCATAGGTCGATTCCTTCGAAGAGTTCATGAAAAAAAGAATAAGGCGAAGTCGAAACGCTTTCTGATATTCATTGACCTATCGAACTTTAAAACATAAATGCCTTTTTAAGAAGAGATAATGATTTGACTGAGTGACGGTTTTTTAAATGAATTCTTTTAATTATATATATATATATTGTATGATTTCTCTCCGTTCCCGAACATGACCTTCTAGAATAACATGGTCTTTACTGAGTTTTTCTAGTGTCCCCGTTTTTTAAATAGGTCTCTGAAATTCTCCTTTTCTTTATTGAGTCTTGAGTAATTTTTCTAAATTAATTTTTCGTCTGTCTTTTATTACTATTCTGAATTTTCATAAAACTAAAACTAACTGAAAACATTCTTTCATCCGTTTCTTAAACGAAACTACTGATATTAAAAAAAAACGAACAATTGTGTGAATATATGTCACTAACATCTGTTCAAGTGCAATATTTGAAAGTTTTAATATTTATTTTGATGTTTTACTAGTTTCCAGTTTCCAGTTTTATTGAATAACGATCAGACGCAAATGTATGACACGGAAGTAATACATAACATTCACATATTAATGACGAAACAAACGGATACAAAACAAGGTAACTAAATAGTACATATAAGATCTTCAATGTAGGAAACCAACATATGAAATATGATTATATTTATATTGAATAGAGCATTTTTTTTAACAAAACATAGATTAATGCTTGTACATGTGTACTTCGACGTGATCATTTCATAATAATTGGAATATTTATGTAATTATATCTAAGTAAATACTTATTTCTACATAGGCGGATCCAGGGGGACCTGGAGGGGGGGGGGCCGGGCCCCCCTTTTCATGGGAAAAATTTGGTTGATTATATAGGAAATCACTGAAGCATGACTGGAGCGGGCCCCTCCTTATGAAAAGTTCTGGATCCGCCACTGTTCTATATTCTATCATGTATGCATATTTACATGTTAATAACATCTTAAATAAAACTAATCTTAATAATTTTCTTTACACTGAGTACATATTCGTGATACTGTTGTAATATTGATATTATAATGTTTTTGATGAACTCGTTATTTTTTTTGTGAAATAGTTATATATTTTACGGAGCACTGTTGGTTTCATACAAAAAAGGGTTTTTAAAGTCAAGCGCTGGAGATTTATATCTTTAACGCTAGACTTATTATCTACAACGCTAGACTTTATATGCTATAGCGCTCGTCTTTAAATTTGCAGTACTGTAGTTTTACATCTTCTGCACTGGACTTTATATCTATACAGCGCTGCATTTTACATCTCCAGCTTTTCAATTTCGTACTTTATTTAACATTTTAGATTATTTGTTTAGAGCGTCACTAATGAGTCTTTTGTAGACGAAACGCGAGTCTAGCGTACACAATTTTAATCCTGGTATCCATGATGAGTTTATTTACATATCCAGCGCTAGACTCTTTATATATCTACAGCGCTATACTTTAGATCTCCAGCGCTGGACTTACTTTCTACAACGCTAGGTTTAGATCTACAGCGCTGGACTAAAACATCTCAAGCGCTTCACTTCAAATCTACAGCGCTGGACTTAAGATCTATAGCGCTTGATTTTACATCTCCAGCGCTTGACTTTACAAACCTACAGCGCTAGACATTTAAATTACATTTCCAGCGCTTGACTTTGAAAATCCACAAGACTCCGTAATATTTTGATAAGCACGTGGTACCCTTATGTTAAATTGCAGTTTCAAAAATGTATAAAACCTGTGTCAATGTATACATGAAGAAATGGATGGGGTTCACAAAATAGAGAATAATGGGCCAATACTACAAAAAAAATGGGCCAAAGAATAAAGAAAAATGGTATGGTAAAATATAAAGAATAGATAATAATGGAGTTCTAAAATATAACAGATAGAAAATAATGGGGTGCTAACATATTTAGAATGGAGAATAATGAGCTAAAAATATAAAGAATAGAGAACAATGACCTAAATAGTTAACGAATTCAGAAACGAAAGACCCCACCCCAACCCAATCCAGACCCTCATACATGTACACGAGTGTCACCCAAGCTTCGTATTGCTATGTGTTTCTTTATTCTACATTGACTAGAGGTATAGGCGGAGGGTTGAGATCTCACAAAACATGTTTAACCCCGCCGCATTTTTGCGCCTGTCCCAAGTCATTTGCCTTTGTTAGTCTTGTATGTTTTTTAATTTTAGTTCATTTATATGTTTTGGAGTTTAGTGTGACGTCCATTTTTGACTGAACTAGTACACAATTTTATTTAGGGGCCAGCTGAGGGACCACCTCCGGGTGCGGGATTTTCTCGCTGCGTTGAAGACCTATTGGTGGCCTTCGGCTGTTGTCTGCTCTTTGGTCGGGTTGTTGTTTCTTTGACATATTCCCCATTTCCATTCTCAATTTTATTGTTCTGTTTTGCCATTGTATTGTATTGTATATATTTTGTGCATGCCTCATGTTACAGTGCTGTCAGAGAATAAATCTGGAATTAAGGGGGTACATAACACTACAGGGAGATAACTCTGTAAAAATCAGCTGAACGTTTTAATCACGTTCTATTGTTTTATGAAATTTTTATATTTTTGTCAAAGGGTCAAAGTTAATATTTTGTCAAAATTTTATGAAAATTTAACGAGCCAAATTAATTTTAGTCGAGGTGTTTGGTACCACCTTAAGTCTTGAAATCCCATCTTCCTGTTTCAATAGGAATACAGAGATTAAAAGTTATTAGTTTTGTTATCCATACTTTATTTTATTTTGCTCAATTTTAATAATAGTTTTCTTAACAGAAGTCTTTCTAAATTAAACAAAAAAAATGTCAACGAGAAGAAATGGTTATATTTATACGCTATTTCGAATACATTGATCTTTAAAGTCACATGAAACTTCAAATTTAAAAAAAAGTTGAATATGTTTTATATACTTGAATGGCTAAGTCTTACTATGAAACAAGAGTACGTGAACTTTCTCGTGAAGAAAAAAACCTTATATTTAATTTATCAAAATCTTCTTAATGTGCTGCTATTGAATTATTGTCTTCCCCTACACTAATTCGCCGATATTTTCCCGTAACTTGTCCTTAACTACAAGACCTCTCGTTAGAACTTCGGCCATCGCACAGCGCAGGTGCGAGTGGAAAACCGTGATGAAAGAATGTAAACAAACGTGCAGTAGTAATAACTGATTATTACAATTATTGAATACAATAAATCATTCAACAACTGTTAAGGAAAAGTTTAATTACCAACTGGGAACACTTGGAAAATATAATAAAAATATCATGGCTCTATTTATTCACTTATTTGTCACGTGCTCCACTGCTCTGTGTTGATTGTTTATAAATGTCACGATCCGGTGAACTACGACAACAAACTCGCAAGTTAATTAGCTTGCGATCAACAATCACTGAATGAAATATTATTTGTCGATAATACGTTATTGATTCGTAATAAATATATAAAATAAATACGTACATACAGGACTTATTTAAGTATATATGCATGCATTGGTTCAGTAATTTCGATAACATTAAAGATTCAAGAAACTCGTTTCAAATGACTTTAAGTATCTGTATACATGTTTTTCGATGACACAAATCTAATTTTCAAAATCATATCCAAAACCTGCATTGTTAGATATAGATCTAGTATGATGGAACAACCTAAATGATTACAAACTATTTTTCTGTTAACTGTACAAAAGTCTATACAAACTAGTGGCGGATTTAACGGGGGGGGGGGGGGCTTTGAGGGCGTACGCCCATCCCCCTTTGATTAGAAAATAAATCATTTTCAGCATTGAATTGTCCAAAAATTATTTAAGCCACGCTACGCTCGGCGGTGTTTCTTCAGTTTTATGGAATTACGCCCCTTTTCAAAAATCCTGAATGGGCCCCTGCATACAACTTATTTAAGTCATAGGATACTTCAAATTTGACGAAACAAATTAATATGTTTTATATACTTGGATGGCTAAGTTTTGCAAAAATCACGTGTATATACAATATAAGTTATTCTTAAAGAAAATCTTTTATTTTTCAAGTGTCCTGTGTTCCGGCGTCAAACATCATACATTTTAAATCTTTTTGTATGCTTAAGAATAAAAAAAGATTTTTTGATGAAAAATGTGAGTATTCTGTATATTATCCGAAATCTCATTTCTCCGTAGTCATTGAGAAAATGTATACATCGTTTTAACCTTTGAAAGCCAGTAATGACTTAACGAATAGGCAATTGAAATGTCATAATATATTGTTTCATAATGCCGGATCAAATTAACTCATTTTTGTTGAGCCTGCGAAATTTATTTCGCAAAAGCGAGACATTGCGATCCTAGATTCCCTCGTCGGCGTCAACATTTAGGTTCAGTCAGTGTTTTTTTAGACATCAATAACTTTGTCAAACCTACATGGAATTTTATGAAATTTGGACAGAAGCTTGTTTATGACAAAAATACAGTACCCAGAGCAACATTTTGAAAATAAATATTTTTCCCTATTTTACTGATAAATGGATTTTGTTTTTTTTACAGTTAACATTCAGATTTAGTCTAAGGTTTAAGTTTTTCAGTTATCAATAACTTTGTGAAACCTTTATGGAATTTTATGAAATTTTAACAGAAGCCTGTTTATGACCAAAATACAGTATCCAGAGCAAAATTTTGAAAATATTTATTTTCTTTTTTCCGCTATTTACTGATAAATGGACTTAGTTTTATTACAGTTAGCAAGTAGATACAGTGTAGGCTTAAAGTTTGTTACACATCAATTACTTTGTCAAACTTCCATAGAGTGTTAGGAAACTTTGGCAGAAGCTTTTTAATGATTAAGAGATAATGTCTGAAGCAAACCTTTGAAAATATATTTTTTGTCATTTTTAGTATTTTTTTACAGTTAACATTTACAGACAGTATGGGAATAAATTGTTTTGACATGATAAGATTGTAAACCTTCAAACGAAACATGGACAGAGGCTAAATCTTCAAGACCAAGAAAGAACATTTAAAAAAAATTTGAATCTTTTTAAAATTCTGTATTTTTCTGATAAATGGACTCACTTTTTAAGTCAGCATTACACTTTTACACTGACAGCAGCAATCGCAGGCGAGACACAGTGTTCCGCGGAACCCCTTACGATTTTTTATCACTTATTCGTATCATATCCGTGCAGTTGGAAAACAGAAATATCTCTTCATTCAAGAAATCGATAACCGGCAACAACAATAAGAGATATGTATTCCCAATAGAACGTTGCCCAATATTTCGTAATATAACTTTAGTAAGATATAGCGCCGTAAGCCATATGTGTGTTTAATTGAACCGCATTTAAAAACACAACTGAAATTACATTGCCTGCAAAACAATAACCATTCAAGTTTTGATTGCACTGTTGACCATTCAAGTTTGATTGCACAGTTGACCATGTAATTCCATATTTCAAACTGAATATGAACCGCCTAGCGGAGCGATATGCCAAAACAAATTTGAACGATTTTTTGCCAAAAATTATATATTTTCCAATCTAAGGGGGCGTATGCCCTCTACGCCCAACCCCACCCACTGAATCCGCCACTGACACAAACGTTAGGTTTCTGAATCATTGACGTATATACCTTACATTATTTAATTCTTGTATGCCTTTTATAGAAAGATGTTATTAACCACGACACTTAAAAGATTTAGCATGCTGTTAGTCGCTTCAGCAATGTTACTGGTTGGTGTATACGGAGGTAAAGGATACTCACCGTTATAATGTTGATCCATGCTGTTTTAGAACTGATCTTTTTCGTCAAAAAGGAATTGCTCGACTCACTTTGCAGAACCTGCAAAATGTACATATTGCATCAATTATAGAAAAAAGAAGATGTGGTATGAATGCCAATGAGACAACTCCCAACACCAGACCAAATGACATAGAAATTAACAACTATAAGTCACCGTACGGCCTTTAGCAATGAGCAATCCCTAACAAATTGTTTATTTCTAATGGTTCGGAATATGTATGATACATTTACCACAAGACGTTAAGCAAACAATTATCAATCCATTAATATTCACCTAAGCACAAAGGAGAGAATTAAGTGCCAGTCTATGTAAGAATCGGGCAATTTAGAAAAATTTCAAAACATGGCCGAAAAAAAACCCACCGACCTATCCATCCTATTTTGAAGTTATTTTCATCCTATAGCAAATTACTGAGTTAGCTCCCCTTAATTGTTAATTTCTAGTGCATTTCAACAAATTACATCTTGAATTAATAGAACAGAAACAGGAAACACATTTTATATTCGTGCACCATTATACAATTTGACCATAGATTAATGTCAACTTGAGTGAGTTTTGTTTGTCATGTTTTAACCACTGCCTGATTCTTAGGCAGATTAGCACTTAATATTCATATTTAAGCACATGTCCCTCCTTGAGGCTCCTTCTAACCTATATAACTAAACTGGTAATAATTTAGTATGGTTTCAAACGTAGAGAAGAACAAGCTAGTTCAGGTTTTCATTGGTCTATCAAAAATTTTTATTAAACTGATTTCGGTACCATTTTTTTTTTTACATTTTGAAAGCACACACCAAGAGAATTCAAAGACAACTAAGTGAAGCGCATTCATGAACTCCACACGGACCGAAACATATGATGATGATTGACCATTTAACGTCCAGTGGCAAATATAATGCAAATTCAGGACGAAAACCTGTTACTGCGATATGAATAATAAGCACACATTATACCAAACTCCGTACAGTGGTCGTTTCCGTTCCAGAACTATTTTCCTTTACTCCGTACAGTAGTATGCGGATCGGAGCTGGAACTGCCAGGGAGTTTGACATTATACTAGACCAACACGCTGAGTCGGATTTTTAACGTTTTAGGTCACAGTCCGCATGAAGACATGTCACCTTACCCGGACACATTATTCTGACTCAGAGCCAGTCAGTCTTTGCTCTTACATTAATGCTGCGTGCTTAGGTAGAAGCAGCAAATATCAATTTTAAAAACTTCGGTTTGACCCGGCCGAGGTTCGAGCCCACAACCTTCCGCTCTTGATGCAGCTACGAATCCCCCGAGACCAAAACAGAGAAAACGTCTTAAGGAATTGAGTCAAACATATCTAAATAGAGAATATTATTCTAATCAATCGGTAGATAAAAAGATTTGTATCTCTCAAGAAATCAAAACGGGCCTCTCGTGAGTTGGTGACCGTAATACGAAGTGTCGATTTAAAAACAAATGAGACACATGTATAACATAAATAAAAAGATGTGGTATGATTGCCAGTGAAATAACTATCCTCCAGAAACAAAATGACGTAGAGTGAGCAACTATATGTCACCGTATGGCCTTCAACAATGAGCAAAACTCATACAGCATAGCAAACTATAAAAGGCTCTGACATGACAAAATGTAAAAAATTTCAAACGAGAAAACCAATATGATAGACTGCGACCAACGACAACCATTGGATGCAAGGTCCTTGAATTGGACAAGCACATACAGAAAGTGGCAGGGTTAAACAGATTTGCGAGCGCTTAGTCCCTCCTCTTACCTTGGACAGTGGCGTAGCAGCACAATAAAAGAACAAACTGTAAAAAAAAGTTGAAAAAGACATGCTTACATCCACTTCATTTGAACTTTGGTGGATAGTTGTCTCATTGACAATCATACCACATCTCCTTATTTTTATATCATTAGATCGACACAAAAGATAATAAATGTATATATAATGGGCGTCTCCGAAACTTGAATAAAATGCAATTTTTGTCCAATTCATGTTTTGCTATCATTGTGAAAAAAATAGAAATATTTGGAATACCGGTATATGTTTTTGAAATTAAAACTTAAAAATTGTCACTTCATAGACAAATTTAAATTTATAATTCATTTTCAATCCGAAAAAAATGACCAACTTGTAAGTAAGCTTGCTCTTTAAACCTATGAAACTTTAGGACTTTTTCGTCTCTATTCTGTTCTCTTTATAATTTTTGTATGTTACAAATTACAAACTTTATTCTTAATGTTGGTACTATAAAAATTTTTAATTTAACCTTTTTTTCTTATATTTTTATGCTGACGTGCTAGTCATGACAATTCTTTTGGCGTCCTGTGATTCGAGTGTGCATGTGTCAAAATTAGTATTATCTAAAGCTAGTAAAATACCACTGGACGCCAGAGGAGAGTCGGTCTGTAATCTTTGCAATAGTTATTTATTCTAATAAATGAATATTAATTTATTTTAGATATTTGTACCGATGGTACCAAATTAAAAGAAATTGCTACGAATTGTGCTAGAAAACACTCTATCTTGTTCTCTCAAGCAACAAATGCAACAACCGAGGAAACATGTGGGTAAGACAACACCAGTGAAAAATGTGGGTAAGACAACACCAGTGAAAAATGAACACTTTATTTGTAAATGTAAATACTTTAAAAAATGAAAACAACACGCTTTTCTGGATTTACCTTCATCAGGAACGCTCAAATCCAAATATATGAAAGCCGAGAATGTATAAGAACCGAAACATTTGAAGAGCCAAAAAGAACATAAAAAATAGCCGAATACATACTTTAAATAGTATTTGGTAACTTTTGCAGAAAACAATGTTAAATAACGAGTAAAAACATTTTCTACAGAAATAGGGTAAAATTAAGTTTTTCGGTATAAATAAATGACTCATATCCAATTGGGGGTAACTTCTAATTAAAGACTGAATGACACGTTTTGAGTTATGAATTCTTTTTCAGTGAACAGTTACTGTAGGCATTTTGGGGTCTCTCTTTCTAACAGATATTCACAATTGTGCTTACAGATTAATTAGTTTTGTGAGGTAAGGGTACAATGTATCATGGCCAATACGCCGTTTCAGAATCTAAAGGATTATGGGTAATTTCATAGTTCGTATCCCAAAAACAAAATGAAAACAACGTCATGTAATTGGCTGAAGTTCCATTATTTAATACATTTTGAACCAATGACATTGCTCTGGTACACGTTTGAAAACATTACGCAGAATGCACTAGACTCTGAAAAGACGAATTATCCCTTGATTTATTTTGTACTAACGTGTTTAAAATCGGAAAGCTGGTCATGGTATACATAAGTTTAATTATGAAACTATTACTATAATGCGCGAGAGGCAAGCCGTTGTTTTTTGCGCTTAAACTGTTTGAAATATTGTCATATCATGGCCTTTTAAAGCTGACTTTATGGTATAGGTTTGTCTCATTGTTGAAGGTCGTACGGTAGCCTACAGTTGTTTATATCCATATCATACTCTGTTTGATAATTTTTTGATTGGTAAACATACCACGTCTCCTTATTTTATATCGATAGGCAGGTTACACGGAAGAATATGAAGATGAAAATTGGTAAAAAGTAAAACAACAAAAATACCGAACTCCAAGGAAAATTCAAAACGGAAAGTCCCTTAACAATTGGCTAAATCAAAAGCTCAAACACATCAAACGAATTGAAAACAACTGTTATATTCCTGACTTGGTACAGGCATTTCCTTATGTAGATAATGGTGGTTTTAAAGCTAGCTAAACCTCTCACTTGTATGACAGTCGCATAAAATTTCATTATTATATTGACAGCAAGGTGTGAACAAAACAAACAGACATAATAGGTAAAAATGTAAAAATAGGTGTACAGCAGTCAACATTGTGTTATAATCTCAATCATTATAAAACAATTAACAAATATGTCAACAAAGAAAAACAAAATGGTATATAGACAAAGCACATACGCAAAAATGAAACATAAGAATACAAAAAATGACCACAGCACAACAACACAATGGCGGGATGTACAAGTACCGAGCCACGTCTAAAGGATATTACCAAAAATGGACCAAACAGTAAACGTTAGTAATTTACAAAGACAAATAAAAGAACACTATAACACGTAATTAAGATGATAAACAACGTCAGTACCTAGCATCTATACATCAAGACCAACATGTATTATTTGTGTAGATGACACGGAATATTTATCAACAAGGTCTTGATGAACTTTTTTAGAAAAAGGACGAGACGATCTTTGAAATAACCCTGGTTCATCAACTTTCTGCTCAGACACTGGTGACGTTTTACAAAGTCTGAGTAGCAGCTCAATGATATCAAATAGCGATAATTTTTATCTAGTGCTTTACCTTTTCCAGATAATGGTAACACTGTGAACAGATCTCCATCAACGGTAGATAATACTTTCTGATGCTGTAAATTTAACATTTCATTGTCATTCAAAGTGTTTCGGAATTTTCAAAATAAATATTTCCAATTCCGCGTATTGGATAAAAATACCGAAAAATTCTCGGAAAACACTAAAATGTTTTAAAACTGTTTTAACTTGGAATGCATTTCAAATGAATGTTTATCATACTTTATCATTTACAGGTTGATGACGAATAAGGTTAAACCATGTGTTTTCAATAACGTTAATGGCACGTTCGGGAGGATATGCACGGCTCAAGAACAACATCAGATGATTATGGATTTCAAAGATGAAATAATGCTATTTCTTAAGTTGAATATCAGTGACTGTAAGTTGTCTTGTTTTAATAATGAATTTGAACAACCGCACAATAACAATGTGATATAAGTAGGCATACCAATTTTAAGTTAATATATTCATAAAATAGTAAGTATTTCTCACTATTAGGCAATTCAATAGCTAATTTCAACATTGAGCTGATGTTACTAAATTGGTAAGCTTTCAGTTTCACTGGGTCCAGAATAGTCGCTTTGGGAATGAGCCGCACTTTTTCTGTACAATATGATTTTATTTTATTTTTATTTTATTTTTGTTGTTGATATTCCTTAATATTTTCACTAATTTAATATGTTCTTTCTCTTATCCATCTAATTTTACAATCCCTCTATTCTTATTTTCCACGAGGCAGGAAAGATCGGAAATTTTAATATCGTATTTCTGTTCAAAAGGTTTACCATATACTTACACATTAAATAAGTCAAAATAAGTTGAAATAGTAAGAAATGTTAATTATCAAAAAGTTACAACACCAAAAAAAATAATATATAAAAAAGGGGGGTTGATTTCCTATTGCCTGAAGGGTCCAGTAGAAAATGACAAATTTGTTAGCTTGCATATTTTCTAAACAAAACAAGGTTACGGAAATAATTAACAACTTTTAAGGATGTAGTCATGTCAAGTTTAGGAATTTTTGTCAAATGTTCGGACTTCCCCAGTAAACAATCCAACGTTGACATTACGTTGCGACAACGTAATACTATCGTTGTGGGTTTTTCCTACAATACAGGGTTAAATATTTTGCCCCATATCACGCACTTGTCTTTTCACAGAAGACTTCAATATCACTTAAAAGGTCATTACCAAAATTTAGGCAGATTCTATATTTCTTCACTTACGATTTGAGAACCCAATAATGCCAATGCAAAATATAAGGTAAAGTCCGAGTCAGCCTTTTCCCGCCATTTTTTAAAATCAAATATCTCGAAAAGGAGTTCGGATCCATAACCTATCAATATTTTTAGCTTATTTTGTTCCATAACTAATGCTTTTCTGACTTATAGTATCAATTTTAAATTATAGATTTTTTTTAAATTTCACCTGACTGCATCCTTAACTGCATTTTGTATTTTACTTTACCAAAACAATTAATATGTTATCACAGAGCGAACCAAATTTGAAAATTTGAGCACACAAATCGTGTTGGTAAACGTTGTCTTTGTTATACTAGAGTAATAAAATAAAAAAAGAGTTATTCCCCGTTAGTCGTTTACTTGCCGATTTCAATAAAAAGCGATAATTTATTTGAAATTAAACAAATAAAGTACATAAATGTTTACTTAGAATTCAATCGTGCAGTATCAGAAAATTTACAAAGTCACGTGGAAAAATGTATCGCTCTAAAAGTGTTATTGCATATGCATTCCAGGAGATTAATCTTACAAGTATAAGATTTTTCCTATTCAAAAGTATTATAATGTATAAGAAGATTATCTCTTCATTGACTGCATTTAGCTTCTGTCAAGGAATAAGTGTCCCTCTTATGATATGGATCATAGTTTGTATACGTCCGCTCGACAGAGTTGGGGATATATAAGACTCCTCGTGTCCGTCCATCACACTTTTAGTTCCTAGATGATAAATTATATACATGATATAGAGAACCTCTATTTGAACTTAATTAAAATTATATTTTCGTCAATCACACTTTTAGTTCCTAGATGATATATACCTGATATAGAGAACCTTTATTTGAAGTTAATTGAAATTATATTTTCGTCGTTTTCACTTTTACTGTTCCAACATTATAAATGGAGAACTCATTTTGTTTCAAATTGAACGACATTTTAATAGAACGTGTAAAACCACTAAACACATATGAGGAATTTCGATTTCGTCGTGTTCAATTTTACCGTTCTCAAGAGTTATGGTACTTGAGTATTTGGAAAAACATCGAATTGTTTTGTTTTATGGATAATCATTCGAGAACACCTTTTTAGTGAAATTGATTGAAATTTTAATGAAATGTTTTGGACTACTAAAGACAGGTATTGTTCGATTTTCGACGTTTTCACATTTACAATTTCCGAAAAAATGGGCCATGATTGTTGGAAAAATTCAAACTTGCGTGGTCTCTAGATGATAAATGGGGAACGACATTTAAAAATTGATTGATATTTCAATGGAATGTTTTTGACCCCTAACACAGAAGCATTTTCAAACTTTGAAAGTGTTATTTATCTTATTTTATTAGGTATACCACCGATGTCATGCAGCAATGTTGATTCAATACTTTACTTTCTACCTGTAATATGTGAATCTGTATATAACCAGTTTGTCCAGACAGGAAACTGTAGGTGAGTTTTGAGGTTTTTTCCCCCATCGATTTCATTCTAAAAGAACGACTATAGGGATGACAAAACAACGCTTTTATTGTTGTTTTTCAGCGTGGATGTGTACCATCACGTGGTTCGTGACGTTTACTGGGTTGAAGCTGTCGCGTGTCATTGTTTTGCTCATAGACACCTTTTTACATTAATGCACTTATTCAAGATAAACCAAATGGCATTTAAATCGTTAGTCAGCTTTAATCACATTTTGAAGAAAATAAAATATTTTAAAAACATGACATTAAAGTCTATCAAATATTAGAACTTTCTACAGAAAACAAGAGCTAAAATGTGAACACTTTTCAGCCCATCTGTCCCTAATTGTCCATGTGAGCTTTTGTCATCACTGACCATCACTTGGCGTCCGTTGTTAAAGTAAATTTTATTTAAAATTCTAATTATCTAAAAAAAAAAACATGACCAATTTCAACCAAACTTGACGTGATTAAGCAAGGTAAATGATTAAGCAAGGTAAATGATTAAGCCAGGTAAATCATTAAGCCAGGTAAATCATTAAGCCAGGTAAATCATTAAGCCAGGTAAATGATTAAGCTAGGTAAATCATTAAGCCAGGTAAATGATTAAGAGCCTAATATTTAGTACGCCATTTGGTTTGGTGGTTAGTTGTCTCTTTGGCAAATTGAATCATACCAAATCTTATTTTCATATTTGTTATACTTTCTTGAACTGTTCATTCTTTTCAGCATATATTTAGATAACCTAAATTGCTACAAAGACAACATTAATACAACTGAATCCTGTGTTGGTAACGCTATACATGGTATTATCAAGTCCAATAGAGATAAATGGACGCAAGCCACGAAACAGCAAACCACTTGTCCAGGTAAGGCCCCATAAAAAAAGGTATGATTTCTTCCTCCCAACCTTCTTAAAATTTTCATGTCTACCCTTACATTTTTGGTTGAGCACAGACTGTTATATCCAGATATTTTTGGTTTCGCTCAGTTATAAATGTTTGTCGTAAAGCGTCTAACACATTAGTTGTCATCTTACAAAATTAAATAAATTGACTATTTTTCACACATTTATTTTATCAAATTTAGTTTTTTGTCCTTTGTTTTGCATTTTTTAACAACGACAACAAAACATACCGCTTCATTAAAAAAAATCAGGAAAGGGCTTTACGATCTATATATAAAGGATATGTCAGTACGTATGATGAACTATATTGCCCTCTAGATGCCTAATGGTTATTTTTTTTCGTTGGGTTACTGACTTATTGATGAATACCCCATATCCCTTTTCATTCATATGATACTGATGTCCGTTTCGGATGAATGGTTTTGTGATAACCTTCACCCGATATGGTCGAGACCCGACAAACAGAGTATCCTTCAAAAATTTGTATTTGTTTTAAATCCTCTAATCTAAATCCAATGACAAAAATGCCTTTGAAAATTAAATATTTTTTGCGAATATCGTATATACTTCCAGATAAAGACTAAAATTTGCTACATTAAGTGAGTGGACAGGGGATAGGGGCTTCGAATGAATCCAAAGCTGGCTCACCGTCTAAATGTCATCTTCGGCAGTAATGATAAAACATGATGAATTTTAAAAATTAAAAAAAAACTTCTTTTTACAGTTACCAGTCATATATCTGTAGTTAAATATCTTAATGCGAGTTCAAAACTTTTGCAGGTTCTGCTGAGACAACAACCCTTTCGTCAATACTCAGATATACCAGTTCTGTTTGGTCAATACTCCGGAATACCAGTCCTGCTTCTTCAATACTCGGGGAGACCAGTTCTGCTTCGTCAATACTCGGTGATACCAGTTCTGCCGCGTCAAAACTCGGTGATACCAGTTCTACCGCGTCAATACTCGAGGATACCAGTTCTGCTTCGTCAATACTCGGTGAAACCAGTTCTGCCGCGTCAATACTCTGGGATACCAGTACTGCTTCGTCAATACTCGGTGATACTAGTTCTGCCGCGCCAATTCTTTGGGATACCAGTTCTGCTTCGTCAAAACTCGCTGATACCAGTTCTGCCGCGTCAATACTCGAGGATACCAGTTCTGCTTCGTCAATACTGGGTGATACTAGTTCTGCAGATATGATTTCGTCATATATTTATCCTGTTGCTGTTACTTTGTTTGTTTGTTACATTTATTTGCTATGATTCTTCAATAAAAGTTGGTATTTTCCTGAACAGTATTTGAAATTAGTATCGTAAAAAAATTAGAGAAACAAAGTGACACAATTTTGGCTGCTGGATCCCAATTATTGTCACGTTAACCAGTTATGTCTGTTTTGGTTGCTCGACCAGTTTTGTCAATATGGCGGAACTATAAACAACTGTGGAACAAGTGGGAGGTTTGGCTAGCTATAAAACCAGGTTTAACCCACCATTTTCTGTATGCCTTTACCAAGTCATGAATATGATTGACGGTTGTATTCCATTCGTTTCATTGGTTGATATAGTCGAGCGTTTGATTTTGTCAGGATTTATGGACCTCCCCCTTTTTGAATTAACCTTGGAGTTTGGTATTTTTGTTCATAATTTTTTAGGCCCTGCACAATAAATGACTGTCGTTTTTTTTGTTTTGATGTCCAGTGGCAAATATTTCTTGCATATTCAGGACAACTATAATGCATAATACGTCGAGATGATTTATACATCACACTGTTTTGGTTTTTTTTTTAAATTGAACTCCTTCGAACAAAGCCAACTGCTCGCTTCTGTTATATTTCAATCAAATCATATAGATTAGAAGATGTATCAAACATATTTGGGGGTTTGTATATTCAATAACCTGCCTATCGAAACAATTTGTTTCCCATCCTCAAGCGCTTATATTTTCTAAGTCCATTTTTGAAGATGGAAGTAGATGGTGGACATAAGTTCGACTCAATGCATAATAGACTCCGAATAGAAATGCATAAATTGATTAGGTCTGATAAGTTTGAAATATTTCCCGCATTGTTTTAAACTTTGGCGCTTGTTTAAAATACACAAGAAACCTTCCGAACTTTACGGACGTCAGGACTCCATGCATTGTTTGGGTCGAACTTGCTTGAGGCATCTACTTTCCTTCAATTATGTTTCTGTTGCTGATACATGTAGTAGGACTACTTTATCTCAAAGACTGTCAACCGCCTTGATTTGTCACGCAGTAGAGTGCTCGTTCGATTCCGACTACATTAACCAAGTACAGTGGCGGATCCGGGGGGGGGGGGGGGTCCCCCCCTTTTGTTTGACAATCAATGCTTTTGAATGGGGATATATGGTTGGAACCCCCCCCCCCCCTTTTAAAAAATGGATGGATCCGCCCCTGAAGTATTTTCGGCTCGTCTGTTGTCATGAACACGGCATCAGGAATACATTGTATATACATGTATATGAGCAAGGACTGGTGGATTTGAATCATGAGTAGAAATATATATATTTCTGTAGACTGTTATCCTATTATGGCTTTTTCTTATGTTGTAATTTTACACTTTACACTACTGTCTCAAGTTAGGGTGAAGGTTGGCGCCTGTTTAAACGTTTAAAACCCCCTGTATTTTTATGCACCTGTCCTAAGTCAGGACCCTGTTGTTCAGTTGTTGTCGTTCGTTGGTGTGGTTCATAAGTGGTTCTCGTTTCTCATTTTTATATAGATTAGACCGTTGGTTTTCCTGTTTGAGTTGTTTTACACTAGTCATTTTTGGACCTTTTATAGCTTGCTGTCCGGTGTGAGCCAAGGCTCCGTGTTGAAGGCCGTACTTTGACCTATAATTGTTATTTTTTATACATTGTGACTTGGATGGAGAGTTGTCTCATTGGCACTCATACCACATCTTATTTATTTGTACCATCAAAATCCCAAATCAACAAATACTATATTTACATAGAATCTTAAGGTATATTAGCATCTTTTTAACTAGGTACCAGTATTATATGGTTCTAGATATGTCAGGAGCCTCGTCAGGATTTGTCGTTTGTCATACCTTTATGGTTTTTGTTATTTGGAGAAGATAATTTGGTGTTAATGGAAAAAATGTTTTTTTTTATTAAATCTATTTACAACTTTATTAATAGACTCGGAGCGATTTAGAGCCTGTCATATATATCGTCTTGACAACGATTGAATGATAAAATTGTATGTTGTGCTGGATATGTCGTTGGGTTGCTGTATCTTTGACGTATACCCATTATCTCCTTTTATTACATGTAATATTTGCCGCAGAATAATATCAAAGATCGTCAACCACTATTTAGCTGTTATACACATACTGCAGTATGTTTACTATTATACTGAATACCTTATGATTCAAGTGTGCACTATGTTATTAGAAGGATAATTGTAAAAAGACAAAGTGTAAATTAAGATGCTTTACTAATATAAACAACAACAAAACGACGGAAATGATGTAGAAATAAGAATCGGTAAACCTCGGCCGGAGTGCATGGTTGTTAATTGTTCCGGATTGGCAAACTTCGGGCTCAGCGGGTGTTAATTTTAGGCATTAGCACCCGTTGCTAATATTATCACATGTTGCTATGGGTGGCGGGGCTTATGAAAGGTTAGTGAAAATTAACAATTACCGAGTGTCCAATGAAATGAATGGTTTGATATAAGAAATTTGCATTAAGTATAATAAAAATCAATTAGGCATGCAAGACATTTCAGCGTTTGCACTCTTGTTTTGAGTTGTTAGGTTGCTGTCTAGTTGACGTATTCTCCTCGTCATTTAAGTCGAACTATTACTGCACAAAAATAAATAAATGTGTTGTCTTACACTATAAAAATGAAATAGGTTAACTTTTCCCGCTATCTTATAATAAATTCACGGCTTAAATATCATTACCTTTTATATGTAATTTAATTTTGGATGTAACACGTCTTCTGACTGGCTAAAAGTTTTTTGTCTATCAGCTCATAGACATTATTTTGTCATGTGATCGTGACCTCATCAACGTTTTTTCATGATTTTACTCCTTAAAAATGGAATTTAGAAAAATAAGTTAATTGTTCTATTCATAAATGTGTGAACATCATTTTATTATTTGTATTTACAATATAAACATTGTCATTAAAATGAGATAAGAATAGGAAGTGTCATTGGTCCTATATCATCAAATGAACTTTGAGGTGTAAAATGTTTTAAAATACATGCTATACATTTTGTACCTCGGGCGTAAAGTTCTCAACTAAACAAGTTGACAATTGCTGTCAGGGGTATACATTTGTCGAAGGAAAATATTGTTTTGGTAACATTTGTTTGCAACTTTTGATCATCAAATTGCAGGGAATTGATCCAGTATTCGAGGAAAAGGGGGTATAAATGCCCGAATTGTTTTTCCCGCCACTGAACCAGCTCCTTTTGAATTACTGACAACGTTTCCAAAGATGTTTTCACGTTACCTACTTTTATATCTATCTATCTTCAAACTTACAAGTAAGTGCTTTCTCATTTAAAGCATCCATGCAAGTGTTAAAGATTAAAGGGCATTAGCTGTCAAATTCATGTTCACCGATTCGACACAACCAAAATGAAATAAATATTTAGATACGAAAACAAAATATTGAGTCCCCCCTCCCCCAGGGATCTGTGCCTGCGCATTTATACCTCTTACATGCTAGGATGTTTCATAAATACGCGTGATTGTGTGGACGTTGTGAAGCTTGCGCCACGATCATTGTTAAGGAGCTACTATTTGATTGTTATGGGGGGGGGGAGGTGGGGCTAGGATAAAATTTGAAGAAAAAAAGGCAGGACAGGAGTTTTGAGTAAAACAAAAGGCAGGATGAGCAACTTGGCAAAAAAAAAGGCAGGATGACAATTTATGTAAAAAAAGTCCGGATAAACTAATAAAAAAAAGGCAGGACAGAATAGAGTGAAAAATAAATAGGCAGGACAGAGATTACAACTAAAAAAAATGCAGGACAAAATTTTTCATCCTAGCCCCCCCCTCCCCTAAAAATCAAATGGTAGCTCCCTTAAACTATAAAAGTTAATAGTCGGGAATACCGAAGTTTTAGTAAAAATAAGATCAATCAAAAGACAAAAACTAAACTGGAGACTAGAACAGCACAGAATGACAAACGCCGAAATCTAAAAAACAAATGAAAACCGAGACCCGTAAAACGAAAAGGGAAAACGAGGATAAGTACTCAGCAGCTACAATAAGCATGGATATCGACTCCTAGGCACCGAGACAACGATACTCGCACGAGAAGAATTATCGGAATCTAAACGGACAAACACAAAAATTATCGAGAACGGATTTGGTCTTTTGGAGAAAAAATACTCATACACTTATGACAGATGCATTGTCGGAATATTGAGCTGTCGGAATAATGGGCTGTCGGAGTAATGGTCAGTAAGATGATGGGATTTCGAAATAATGGTTTTCGAACTAACGGGATGTCACCGATAACAGGAGACTTTATTTGTACAATTTCAAATAAAGCAAAACATTGTCTATTATTTGTATAATATCAGTCTTCGTCAGGGAGCTACCATTTGACTTTTGGGGGGGGGGGGGGGGGGGGGGGCTAGGATGAAAAATGTTTTCCTGCATTTTTTTAGTTGTAATCTCTGTCCTGCCTTTTTATTTTTCACTCTATTCGGTCCTGCCTTTTTTTATTAGTTTATCCTGATTTTTCATTAAAATCAAATTGTAGCTCCCTTATACAATTTAAAAATGAATTTGATAAGCTGTGTTGTCTTTTAGATCATTTAGAAGCACTAACCATTCGTTTTATAAGAATAAGATGTGGTATAATTGCCAGATAGACAACTCTCCACCAGAGACCAAATGATATAGAAGTTAACAACTATAGGTCACAGTACGGCCTTCAAACAATGGGTTATTTTTCGGGACATACAATTTTTTAGACTTTGTCAAGTATTGAGATTTACCAATGCATGTCACTAAGAGGCACCGACTATTCGTCTTAGGTTAATTCTCGGGACAAACAATGTTTAGACTTTGTTGAGTGTTCTGATTTACCGATGTCACTACGAGACACTGCTCATTCGTCTTAGGTTATTTCTTGGGACATACAATTTTTTAGACTTTGTTAAGTATTCAGATTTACCGATGCATGTCACTCAAAACCACTGATTACTCGTCTTAGGTTATTTCTGGAAATACAATTTTTTAGACTTCGTTGAGTATTGAGATTTAACCATGTACTAAGAGGCACTGCTCATTCGTCTTAGTTTTTTCTCGGACCATTCAACTTTTTTACGACTATCAACATTTTTTACAATTTTATTCAAGGAACCAACTGGATTTTTTGTCAAACTCAATTTCGTATTTTGTTTCTTCTTATTGTCAACGGAAATTAACAGTTTTTTTTTTGTTTTTTTTTTCACTTTCCTTCTGAAAGAAATTCATTTTTTTTTTCGCCATAATTTTGTATCATATAATAAATTAAAAAAAATTTAAAATGTTCCCCGCCACTAATCATTAATGATCGATGACTTTTATTATTTTGTATCGGGTCAAATTTTACTACGGACAAGGGAACAATTTTAATCATGAGTAAACTTTAAAATATATTATAAAGTCTATAGGGAAAATCCCTTTTCTGTGTTAAGTAATCATGTTTGAGGGTATGGCAGGAAGGGCTTCATTTCTGTACACTTTAATTTTTAGGTAATTTTTCTCTATTCATTATCATGTTCACTTATTATTCTCTATTCTAGCACCACGTATATTTGCTTGTTTTATGTTTGTTTGTTTGTTTGTTTGCTTATTTTTCTGTATTCTTAATCTTGTTTACCATTTTTTTGTTGTATTTGCCAATTATTTTCAATTCTGTAAACCACATCCAGACCCTCATGTTTCGGCTATGAGTTTTCGCGGGGATCGTTTTTCTCGTGCTATTAAATCGATGTCCAGACTTTGGTATTTAAACGTCGTCTGACCAATATTTCATAAGACTTTGGAAAGCATTCGAATTGGTAAGTTGTACTTAAACTCATTTTTTAAATTATTTTATATGTTTGATTTTACTTTTCTTTACTTAATATTTGGTCTATGTTTTCCATTTTGGATTCGAAGATTTTTAATTCTAAATACGGCTCTGTTGCAAAGATGGACTAATTGTTTACATTGTTTGCTACTAAGTTTATATGAATGTTCAGAATTGAGATAGGGTATATTTTGATATTTGATAGCGATATTAAAGTTGGTTACGTAGTCGGTGTTGTAATTTAAACAGGGCCGTATTTGACAAAATTGTGAGGGGGAAGGGGGGCTTTGGTTTTTTTTCTAATAAATTGTTATTCTAAGTTTTTTTAAATAGTTTAAGTGCCTTTGAAAAAAGAAACGGTTTCCCGAGAAAACCCTTGCCTTCCCCTAAAAAAATTAATGGTCGGTGCCTAAGAAGAAGAGTCGAGTAGACCTGCCACATTTTTCATGTACCACGAGGAATCATCACATCAATTGTAAATATTACATTTTGTTGCATTTAATGGAAAATGGGGATTTTGTGGAAACTGCAGACACTACACAAGATCTGCAGATTGTGGTGTTCTCTATATAACTCATATTATCAGCTTGTGATATTTATATTTTAAACAGGATTCGTCACAGCGCCCTGGTTTATCTATCGGAATAGACAGTCCAGTGTGAACAGCAGCTTTGAAACTTTCGGACATTACGTATTGACCAGAGAATAATCATGCTTCGACTTGCATTAATACTTCCAGTATTTTATTTAGTTGCGCAGGTAAATAAGTATTCTAATATGTACCAGCTGGTTGATGTTTATGAGAGACCGTCTAGATTGGATTTCTTCATTGCTTTATTCCTTAATTTGTTATATTTTAACACCCTTTTATTCTCTATTCTTTATTTGTTTGCCTAGTTTGTCTATATTCTTTATTCGCCCTTGTATATATTCTGCACCCCCACCCCTTGGGCATTCTCTATTCTTTATACCCCACCTAGGCCCTCATTTCTAAATATTTTAAAATGATACTTTTATTTATCTTTAAGAATTGAACGCTTCTTTATGTAAAATCGTTAACCGACGCACGTTGTGTAGAAGTGGGGAGTTTGTAAATAACTCGAAAAGTGAGGAAATTCTGAAATAGTAAGATTTCATACAAAACTGTTACTGTACGAGGGTCTGGACGGGGTTTGCATAATTTACCGTAATAAACTAATGCTACAGGGAAAGACCCCAAAAAAATACAGGATGGATAAAAATAAGACCCAAAAAATTATGATTACAGTATGAAGAACTCGTGGAACTCATCACCTCTACAGAGCATCCAAGTTCCCCATTTGTTATCTATTCATCTATTTTTTTTAATCTTATTACTTCTTTTTTACGAAAATGCTTACTTTGAAAGAAAAACATTCTAGGAAACATGTGTAAAAAATAAGTTGAAAGTCAACGAGAACTACCCACCCGAGACGAAATGACGTCGACTATAGGTCAGTGCGTGACCTTTACCAATAAGCAACATCCATATGATCTAGTAATCTTTAATAATAGAATACCCCGACACGATACAACGCAAATCAATTCAAACAAAAAACTTGACGGCAGACTTTAAAGAAAATTAATGACCGACGACCATTGAAATCGCCGTTTCAAAATCTAATGAATTCTGGGTAATATTTTCATATGGGTACACCGAAACGTTGTGGTTGGCTTAAAGCGTCCTTAAGGATTAGAATTCAACCAATGACGTGACGTAATTTTCATTTTAGGGTACGATCAATGAAATTGCCCACAATCCTTTAGATTCCGGACACGACGAATTATATACTCCTGATATGTGATGGGAACATTACACATTTTGGTAATCGTGTGGATTTTTTTTTCGATAGCCCGGACTGCCACAAACTTAATAAAATACAGATCTTGTGTGTCCAAGCTTAGCTTACAAAATATGAAAACGCCCCATTCTACCTTCTGTTTTAAAGACCATTTGGCATTCTCTGGTTTTGTCGGATTGATACAATTCCTTCAAAAATTAGAAAGCTGAAATTTCATTGGCTGATGTAATGATTGCCAGAACAAAAAGTAAATTGGAGTGGTGTCAGATCCTTGTAAGCAAAGCTTGGACACGGGATCTGTATTTCAATGAGATTGGAACTATCACGACATATGTGAATCGCTGTTTATGATATTTTTTTAAATTTTATTTGAAGGTTTATGGTAGAGAAATAAGTCCGACTGCTGATGACAAAGAAGATGACGGACGTTTTCTAAAACGATTTTATGACTTAGTTTTACAGGAACGAGGTGAGGGACTTCATAATATAAATAGTTCATTTTCAAAACGCCGATCGGAAGTTGTTTCCAGTTTTAAGATTTTTTGCCGAAGAGCAAGTGTGTAAATGGTAAACCTAGTAGTACCATTGTTTCCCCTATTAACCGTATCTTGTTAAGTAGCGGTTTTTGTTTACAACCTTTAGTAGCAAGGTCGCCGAAGTTTTTAAAATATTATATAGGAACACCAAATAAAACAAGTGCTTTTGAAACACTTAAGATATGTTATAAATATAAAATGGAAATATTTGTTGCTGAAATTTTTTGACTCGGTATATATTAACTTTATAGATCTTTCTGCCTGTGGAATCCCAGAATCCTATCTGGACTGTGCACATGTAAATAGATGTGAAAATGGGTGTTCTGAAGACCAGTACTGTTGTTCGAGTAAAAAATGTGGGGATATATGTCGTAAGTATTTTACATTTTTACCTAATCAATATATTTCAATTATTTTATCATTGATCTTGAGGTGGGAACACAAATTGTCCATGATCGGGGGCGTGGATTAGAACTAAAACCAGTTTCCTAATGATCGGGGCGTGGACTAAAACCAGATTCCAAATCATCGGGACGTAGATTGAAACCAGTTTCCCAATGATTTGGACGTGAATTAAATTATTCAAACCTTCAAATGAAAAAAAAAGTTTATTTATACAAGTAAATGTTACTTGCATCTTCAAGTAAATAAACATTGACTTTTTATAAGTATTATCCCTGACATTATTTTTTTTTTTCAATTTCAACTTTCAAGCAAATATGACGTCCTTATTTCGCTTTGTAAACAAAGCCGTGTTCGAATTAGGACAAAATATCCGACACATGCGAAAAAACTTGATGTTTAGGCCAAAAAAAATATATGTCTGTTTAAGGTTGCATACTTTTAAAAAAATAGGGTAGGTAGGTCGGTATTTTCATTTTATTTTATTTTTTCATTTTATTTTTTGTGACATGATTTTGAGTCATGCCGTTTCGACTTGTCGTAGTCCGAGTTGATCATGGGCCGAGTTTACCCGTATTTTTGATGATTGGATTACTTCCCTTGGAAAAAAATGGCGGCAAAGTGTTTATTTCATCACACGAGTTGCGAATTTCCTTAAAACAGCTGTCATATTCACGATTGTGAACATTGGGATGTATCAGGCAATTGATTTATATCATTTGCAACACTAACTTCGCTTTTGACACGAGTTCAGTTTATTTTTCACTTTACGACGGAAATAAAATGAGTTGGGGTCGGCGCTCAAAATTAGGGTAGGTCGGGTAACCGTAAACGGACATATATTTTTTTTTGGCCTTGCATTCTCGTCATTTTCATTTTTTTTTTTATTATAAAGTTTATATATATTAGCTGCTTACATAAAGTTGTATGATATATAATTATTAAAACATCATATATTTACCCTGTTATTAGTATTTAAACTTATTACATATGAAAATGTAATGTAAATGATTCATAGGGAGGAAACCGGGAACAGCAAACATTTCTAAGGTATTTTCGTACGCTTCGATCTATTAGAATCGAAACAATTCCTTCATGTCGTGCTCTATGCATATGGGTAGGCATTATATTTGACCATATTTTACACCTTGCTAACGCTCGATGTAAAACTCGGACGGTGTAAAGTATCGACAAACATAATTCCTACCCGTGTTAAATGAGCATAGAGCATGACGTGAAGGAATTATTTATTATATTTGACCATATTTTACACCTCGCTTAGGCTCGATGTAAAACTCGGACGGTGTAAAGTATCGACAAAAATAAATCCTACCCACGTTAAAGAGCATAGAGCATGACATGAAGAAATACTGCTCATGTAAATTTATTTAGAATCCGCACCTATGATACTACAAATCATTAAAGGGGCATTAGCTGTCAAATTCATGTTTACCGATTTGACTCAAATTCTCATATTTGATTTATAACATACTAAAACGTACATCTAAATTATGAGAAGTCGAAAATAAACAATTTACAATGCATGGGCTCGATAATATGAATCAGCATTTCGTGTGCATTTTAGTCTAGACGCCATCTAATTAACCATTGGGGTGACCTCCGAAGACTGCCGATGATATAACCATATGTAAAGATATAAATTATAGATGGCGAATTCGTGCAATTGGATTTTTCTAGGAATTTTTCAAGGTCTGTTTGATTTCATATTATAGGTTAAAATATGTTAATCATCGTTTTTACCTGTATAAGAATAAGTTTTTGTGGATCGAACCAATCCATCAAATGGTTTACCCTTGCTTCTCTTTCAATGTTGACATTCTTTTCCTTTTGATAACTGAACACGCCTAATTCATGCGGGTTTATTCCTGCTATTCCTACATTTGATAATTCAGTATGTAAAATGTAAGAAATCCATGTAGGAATAGGAGGAATGCTTGTCCAACATGGGATTAAGGCGGATTAGGTTGTAAAAACATGAAGCTTATTAACTTCATGTAAATTTAAATGAAATATCCGTTTAGTTTTCAATTCATGTGCAACTTTAGTGTACTAACAGATTAAAATGGTGTAAATTATCAAAAAAAAATATATTCTTGTACTGTTAAATTATATTTGTTTCCTCTTGTATCACTGAGAGACAATAAATAAAAAAAAATCGGAATAGTTGCATTTATTTATTTTATCATATTCATGAAAAATTGTAAATAGCACAATAATGTAAACACTATTTATGGTCCCAAAAACCTTTTGAGCACTATAATAAAAATTGTAACAAATACATGTATTGTATCATCATCTAATCTATAAAATTTGCAAAATCTCGACTGTTTAAAAGTGAAGTAATTTTTATTGCATATTAAGACACTAACTTTAGTTTCTTTTTCATATTAGTTGTCGTTATATTGTTTTATGCATTTAGTACTTCATTGTTACTGTTTGGTACAGTGCTTGGCCGTTCTTTCAAGAAAAAGCAGTTCGAATGGCCTCTGGATCTGGCAATGTTAGCGGAAATATATATGATGGTGTACGAAGAAGCTCGGGCCATCGATGTCGGACCCTTATTTAAAATCTATTCTACAACTCTTACTTCTAGATTTGAATGGAATATAGAAATATCGGCGATGGCATGCCTTCTGGGAGTTGTATGGATTGGTTAAAAAAAGCTCCAAATTAACATGTAGGCTTGGTCTTTTTCCCTTTGATCAACTTTTATAGCATTTATTCCAGCACCATTCAAAGCAGAAATTGCGGAATGCAGGAATATATTTCAGCCAAGAGACAAGAGTTTGGTATTTACAGCCACTGCAGAAATAACTTTGTCAATCACACTAGCTAGCAAAAATACATGAAGATTTATATTCAAATTTTATTTTTTCAGTCTGTTATAGAGAGCCTGTCGACTGTGAGCTATTCTGTCGCTATGGATACAACACAAACTACAATGGATGCTATAGGTGTTCTTGTCAACAAGGTAAGTAGTGTTAACTTAATGTGTCGGGTGCCACTCACGTAGAAAGATCTGCTTACCTTTCCGGAGCACCTGAGATCAACCCAAGTAGTCTTCCTCCACTTCGTTGGATCGTAGTTGAAATACATTGTACGTAATAAGATGTTCGCTACTCTTGTTTTTAATTGAAAAAAAAAATTTGTCAAGAAAAAAAGGTTCAGAATGACAAGTTTTGCCCAAACAATTTCCTATTCTACACATATGAGGGTGTGGATGGGGTTTACAGAATAAAGAATAATGGGAAACAAATAGAATATAAAGAATGGAGAAATGGACCAATAAAATAAAGTATAGAATAATGGGGTGCTATAATATAAAAGAATAAAGAGTAATGGACAAAGTATAAAGAATAGAGAAAAATGGCATAAAAAATTAAAGAATATAGAAATGAAGGACCCCCCCCCCCCTTCCCCATTCAGACCCTCGTATTCTTGTTCCATTGTATCTGTTGTCACATATGCAAAATAGCAAGATGATCAATACAGCCTCTAGTTTTAAATCCTAATGTTCCTGAGAACCATTTACTTTACGCATGTGCATCTGGTAGGGTTACCAGTTGTCGCATGTATTTATTCCTTTTTAAAAAGTAAAATAACAAATACCAAACTCCAAGAAAAATTCAAATCGGAAAGTTCCTCATCAAATGGCAAAATCAAAAGCTCAAACACTTCAATCTAATGGAAAACAACTCATATTCCTGACTTGGTACAAGCATTTCCTTGTGTAGAAAATGGTAGATTAAACATGGTTTTATAGCTAGCTAAACCTCTCACTTGTATGACCGTCGCATAAAATTCCATTATATTGACAACAATGTGTGAACATCAACAGTGTGTTATAATCTCAACACTATACAAACAAACAAATATGTCAACAAAGAAAAAAATGGCAAATAGACAAAGCACATAAGCAAAAATGAAAGACAAGAATACAAAAAATGACCACAACATAATGGCGGGATGCATAAGTACCGTTCCACGCCAAAAGGTCGGGATATTACCAAAAATAGACTAAACCATTAAGGTTAATAATTTACAAAGACAAATAAAAGAACACTATAACACGTAATTAAGATGACAAAACAAAGACAGTACCTAGAATCTATACTTCAAGACCATCATGTATCATTTGTGAAGTTGATACGGAATATTTATCAACAAGGGCTTGAAACATGATGATAAAACGTAGATTTCTTTTAAACAAATCCTTTATGCGATTATATATTTTATTCAGGTGTCGGACGACTTCTAAGGAGATTACTCGGCCCAAAAACTAAACAGACCGATAACTACGGGGAGGAAGATGATGAAGTTTTGTGAAGGTAACTATGATAAATCTCTTATACATGCACAAGAAAGTTTAAAATGACGTTATATATATATATATGACGAGTAAAAATGTTTAGAAATAAATATTTTAATTTTATATTTTATATTTATATACATCTATACACAAATATAAAGAAATAATTGTAAATAAAAATGTTTTCATGCATATAATTTTTAAATGGATATAATGAATTTTCGATATGAATAAAAGTGCACTGTACTGAACATCATAGGTGTATTGAAGGGGGAACTTCTTTGTTTTCAAACACTTGCCAAAGACTAAATATTTATTTTGCATGGTATTATGTAAATCCGCGGAGGAATCCGAATCCGGAGGAGCAATTGATGGAAAGTTTGTAAAGGTGGGTAGGTAAAATCTTACTCCGATTCCCACATAGCAATTCCTCCGCGGGAATCGGATCCACACATAGCAATTCCTCCGCGGGAATCGGATAAAGATTTTACCTACCAACCTTTACAAACTTTTTATTAATTGCTCCCCTGGATTCCGATCCCTCCGCGGTTTCGAATCGTGATACCTGGTGTTTTTGCAGTCCTTAAATTTTATGCATTAAAACTGACGCAGGGTAAACGATATGAGTGCCACTAACAAAGAACAATGAACATAAAGAAATCACAAAATTGTCTTTGCACAAGAGATAGGGACAATTTCTTCAGCGTTTATTTTTCACTAGCCTTAGGCGATTTTCTTTGTCCTTCGATCTTTACTAAAATTGTCTGTATCAAACGTTCATATAAGGTTTTAACATTTTGGCGCATTTTTTGAACAATTTATCAAATTATAAATAGCATGTTCTTCAAAACAACAATATTTATCGAATTTGGAAAAGTGGGCATCTAATTTGTGTAATCAACTCCTCCCAAGGTTTCTTGGACTTGGGAATTAAGTATTTTTTCAATGTTCAGTATAGAGCATTCGCCATTGTTTACGAACCATTTAGCTTTTATTAATCAGGGTGATCTATTGTTTTAGTATTATGACGTAGATTCCTTGTATTAAAATTCCGGTAGATTTTAACAACTTTGTGATTTTGACCCTTTGAGTGAAACAAATGCACATTTTGGGAAATTGGCACTACTTTGTTACAATAGGAAATTCAGAGGAAAACAATAAAATTTGACGTCACAACTAAATTAAGACCATGAAGAACTGAGATCAAATGAACCACATTTTGATTAATTAAAAAAAGTCAACAAGTCAGGAGAACGATAAATGGCTAAGAATTGGAGAAATATATTATACATTACATATGGAAATTCATATATTCAAACTGTATGCAAAAATCATGAACTTGTACTTTAAATTATTATCTTTTACAGATCTGAAAGATTTCAGAGGAAAGAAGGAAAAAACATTGAGTAAAATAAAGAAAAAATGTAAAATAGAAAGTTAAAAAAAAAAAGATACACTAGAAGAGGAAAGAAGAAAAAAAACTTGTAGAAAATTACAAAAAAAAAAAGAAAATAGAAAATAAATTAAAAAAAATGAAACGTGACTAATAGTCTTAATAATTTTTTATAGACGTGATCTCTTTATATATGTACACAATGGCTGGATTTATCCAGTTCGGCTGAAAAACTCCTGCTAAAGAGGTGTATCAGTTTGGATATTTAAATACGTACACACGTACACAGCCACGTCACGTCGGAAATGGGACATTAAATCCGCGCTGTATGTAGGGAGAGCACCAAATACTCCTTGTATATAAAGAGCTCTGGTTAATATGCTCTCAATATCCATGAAATGTTTACAACTGGACGTTTAAGGAAACAACAATCAATTATAATGGCGATGTAAAGTCTTGAATTTTATACATTTGTCTTTTGTCGAACTTCACAATATTCACAAATCCTAGGCTGTTCTCAGTTTCTTTTGTTTTGAATCTATATATTTATTGTTATCCCCGAAGTCCTGTTCATTCCCTCAGATGATACTGCATGACAGTTTTGTGAAGTTGAAACATTTTATCCTCCCAAACATGTATCAAGTTTGATCGTGTTCTTTCTCGTTGACACTATATTGTCACATCCAGTGTGATCCATTGTTCTCATTGACACGTAATTGTCATATCCAGTGTGATCCAGTGTTCTCGTCGACACTTGTCATATCCAGTGTTCTCGTTGATACTTGTCATATCCAGTGTTCTAGTTGACACTAAATTGTCATATCCAGTGTGATCCATTGTTCTCGTTAACACTGAATTGTCATCCAATTCGATCCGGTGTGGTCGCTGACCCTTGAGTTATATCCAGTGTGATCAAGTGTTCTTGCTGACACTAAGTTTGTTAATCTGACGATATGCAGTTTGATCATGTTTATATTGGGTAAACTTCTAAATCGTCGGAATAAAAAAAGCACGGTCAATACCATTAAAACTACTCGAGACCATATAACATTTTTATCTTGTTTTATGCCTTTAATTATAAAAAAGGCGAAATGATATTTCATTTAACTCTTAGAAGTAAACTTCGTCTGTTTTGTCATAAATCATTCAGTTGGGTTTTTCGTTTGAATTGTTTCACATTTTGACAATAGACATGTCGGACTATGGTTTTTTTTTCATTGTTAAAGGCAGTAAAGGGACTTTTTATTGTTTTTTAAGTCCACCTTATTTGGACTCGGGGTGGCTACTGGTCTCATTGGCTACCAAATCGCATTTCGATTTTTTATTTTGATTGATTTTATATTGGGTGTTTCAGACTGGGACTTTATCTGTTTTTCAATACCTGGTACAAAAAAAAATGTTATTACAGCCGATACTTGAAAAAGGGTAGTCGAAATTAAAAAAAAATGACGAAAAGATAAGACATACGTAAATGTAACCGATACCTACAGACGATTAATTGCTGTTAGCGCCACTTTCATCACTATTTATGCTACTTCATGGTGGTCAGTTTTTATAAGTAGAAAAAGCTGCCCGGAGAAAACTCCGACCTTCGTTAGAAAACTGACAATCCTAGGCAATTAAGATGGGAGTCGAGCGCACCTGCCATTGACAGGCTAGTGTTGCAGTAGTTCGACTACTTAGACCACTCGGCCACAGAGGCCCCTTCCAATGACAAAGACCTAGAACATCAAGGTCCGCATACAAGCTTCGAAAATAAGTTTCTCAAACTGCGTCAAACTTTTCGCCTTACCCAGTTGTCGAGTGGAATCGTGACTCCTATAAAGCTGAAATATTGTTAAACTATTTTCTTATTAGGGTGCTACCATTTGATTTTTATGGGGCTAGGATGAAAAATTTTGTCCTACATTTTTTTTTTTAGTTTTAATCTCTGTCCTGCCTTTTTATTTTCTACTCTATTCGGTCCTGCTTTTTTATTTAAAGTTTATCCTGACTTGTTTTTACCTAAATTGTCATCCTGACTTTTTTTTTTGCAAGTGTCTCATCCTGTCTTTTTTTTTACTCAAAACTCCTGTCCTGCCTATTTTTTTCAAATTTCATCCTAGCCCCCCCCCCCCCCCCCCTAAAAAATCAAATGGTAGCTCCCTTACCGACTTGACTCGAAATAGAAGTTAAATCAAGTTTGCAGTCGGTTCAATTTGGGAAAAATATTTACTGTTTTCCGATGATTTTTTCGTGTATAGAAAACATTAAACGATTAATCCCCCTTGTAAAAATAGTTTACTTATTTAAACTGCTCTTACTTTACAGAGTACCAGAATGTCCAACTATAGTGTAGTTAACCTGTCGAAAAATTATATACAGTGTAGTCGAAAGTCGATAATATTAAATTAGTCTATTGATCTTCGTTTTTGATGCACCTAATGCATAGTGATGAAGACTTGACCGCCAACATATATGTACCATGTACTGTACCAGCTAAACTTGTGATAAAGGGTATAAACATTTCTATAAAACTAAAAAGAGTATAAAATAGCTTTTCAAGGGATTATGGTTTTTTTGTCAGTCAGAATTTTTTTTTTTTAGTTTTCGACGCTATTTATCAAATTGGCTTTTTTTCAAAATTTAACACAGAATATTTTTTTCGTCAAATTGGGGATCAGAATATTTGTTTAGGAAAAAAACCCATAATTTTAGATATTTTTAGTTAATGTAGACTAAATTTACCATGAAGGGACGGTCACATCAAATAACTTAGTTTACATCACAATGTGAAGTTTTAAACTCATAAGCCAATTGCAAATAACGATTTTGACCCTGATTACATCTCGCTGAACATAGACAAGTGTTAGTGAGAAATAAGTACGCTTTTTGGTGAAAGTTTTTGTTATGGTAGTTGTCTTTATATTTTGGTTATGGCAACATCAACTTGGCACTTATATTCTAATTCAAACTAAACTAAGGGAGCTACCATTCGATTTTTATCGGGGGCTAGGATGAAAAATGTTGTCCTGCATTTTTTTTTAGTTGTAATCTCTGTCCTGCCTTTTTATTTTTCGCTCTATTCGGTCCTGCCTTTTTTTTTATTAGTTTATCCTTACTTATTCTACATAAATTGTCCTGCCTTTTTTTTTTTTTTTTTGCAAAGTTGCTCATCCTGCCTTTCTTTTTACTCGAAACTCCTGCCCTGCCTTTTTTTCAAATTTCATCCTACTCCCCCCCCCCCCCCCCCCCCTCCCCCATAAAAATAAAATGGTAGCTCCCTTGTGGTAGTTGTCTTGCTATTTTTGTCATGGCCACATCAACTTGGCACTTATATTCTAATTCGTAAACTCAAACGAAACTAAAATCTTAATCAAATAACCACAAACTTTCACAGATTTTGCAGAGATAATCCCGCTGCAAATGTTTGCACCTGTCCTAAGTCAGGAATCTGATTACAGTAGTTGTCGTCTGTTTATGTAGTTCATACGCGTTTCTCGTTTCTCGTTTTTATATAGATTAGACCGTTGGTTTTTCCGTTTGAATGGTTTTACACTAGTAATTTTTTGGGGCCCTTTATAGCTTGCTGTTCGGTGTGAGCCAATGCTCCGTGTTGAAGGCCGTACCTTGACCTATAATGGTTTACTTTTATAAATTGTAACTTGGATGGAGAGTTGTCTCATTGGCACTCATACCACATCCTCCTATATCTATTTAAGTACACATTTCATTATTCATACTTTTAACCACGCCAAATTCTGTGTGTGCCTGTTCCAAGTCAGGATCCTGTAATTCAGTAGTTGTCGTTTGTTGCTGTGTAACATATTTATTTTTTGTTCATTATTTTGTTCATAAATTAGGCCGTTAGTTTTCTCATTTTAACTGATTTACATTTGTCATTTCTGGGCCTTTCATAGCTGACTATGCGGTATAGGCTTTGCTTATTGTTGAAGGCCGTACGGTGATCTATAATTGTTAATTTCTTTGTCATTTGGTCTCTTGTAAATAGAGTCTCATTGGCAAACATACCACATCTTCTTATTTTTGTATTGTATAATAATATAGAAAGTTCGTGTAAATACAACGAACACTAGCAGCTGGTACTGGTTGCCGCATACTGGTGGTCAACAAATCTGAAAATGAATAATATAAATCATTATATTATTTATTTGGTAAAATTTTACGTCACACTTCAACTGCAATGGCTCGAATGACTTTAAGTGTACTCGTGCATTGAACACAATAACCTAACTATAAATAACCAAACACGTGTTAACTATAATGAACAAACAACAAAAGGTCCTTTTTAACTTTTTAAGTATAGAATACCAAGGGTTTGAGAAAACAGTGTCGTCCACTCTACACGTTAAAGTTAGTAATAGAATGATCTAAAGTAATGGTTTTCAGTTGCGGATCCAGAAATTTTCATAAGTGGGGGCCCACTTACTGCCTTAATGGGGGCCCGCTCCAGTCATGCTTCAGTTATTCCCTATATAATCAACCAAATTTTTCCCACAAAAAGGGGGCCCGGGCCCCCTCCCCCCTAAATCCGCCTCTGGCTTTGGGTGACTAAAGTCAAATATCTCCCACGAAGCTAGTTTCGATCATCCAGACGCATTATGAATAAAATCCAAGCGTCTGCTTAACCGAGATTACCTCTTAGCGTGAATAATTTAAACTCGCTTATAGAGAGACATGTTCATAATTATTAGCAAATGAATAAAAACCAGATAAAAAATAATTTTCGTTATGCCAAGCTTTTCTTAATCTGTAAGTGTGGGGTCGTGGGTGGCGGATCCAGTGTAGGGGCATAGAGGTCGTACCCCCCCCCCCACCCCTTTTGATCGCCAAAAAGAAAAAGAAAAAATATCATGTTGTTCACGAAATATATGCATTTTTAGTATAAAATCCTCTTCACTACATTCAATTAGCGGGAATAGCGCCCCCATTTTCAGAAATCCTGGATGTCCACTGATTCAGATTAGAACAAAGACATTTCTACTAGGAGTAAACATTAATGTGTCCGGGTAGTAGGGTGGCATGTCTTCCTGTGAACTGGTATTTTGTGACGAGCTCAGAGTATCCATCTAGTACAAGTCAGGTGATAATTATGTTCTCGTCCTGTTATGCGTGTAATATTTGTCGCTGGACGTTAAATACCAA